TCTATGGTATGTAGTAGATGGATAGAGAAGGAGAAAACTGACTTATCTTCCTCTTATGAGACAGTCAGGTCATTCAAACAGTGGTAATATCCTAATGTGCATGCGTGTGCATTATGCATTATGTTTCTGTATGCGTGTGCGTGTGTGTGTGTGTGTCTTTCTGTATGCGGTGTCTATGTAGTGTCTATGTAGTGTCTATGCGGTGTCTATGTAGTGTCTATGCAGTGTCTATGTAGTGTGTATGCAATGTCTATGTAGTGTCTATGCAGTGTCTATGTAGTGTCTATGCAGTGTCTATGTAGTGTCTATGCAGTGTCTATGTAGTGTCTATGTAGTGTCTATGTTGTGTCTATGCAGTGTCTATGTAGTGTCTTTGTGCATGTGTGCGTATGTAGTGTATGTGTGTGTGTGCGTGTGTGTGTTCTGTGTGCCTGGCTTTGTTCATGTGTGTGTGCTCTGTGCTGCTGGCACAGAGAGTAGCTTCACTGGAGAGGAAGCTGGCATGGCTCCCTCCCTGGCAGAGCAGACCCTCTGTCCATAATGATGTTTAGGGAAATGTGGACGCACGTGCCAAAAATCTGTTACATACCATTTGTTCAGGTCTCTTGTGGGTACCATCAGAAAGCAAATGAAAATGGGAAAGTCTGCTAGTGAGAGGAGAGCAAAAGAGCAGGCAGAAGGAAATAAGACGGCTGCTTCACTCCTTTACTAAACTAAAGGCAGAGGATGGGAACTATAAAGAACAGGCTGTAAGTGGACAGAAGGACCGGAGAATGAGTGACACCAGTGAGGTAGCGTGAATGTTCACACCCTGATGAGATGGGACAGACCCTCACAGCTTCACCGCAATCATAGAAGTGGAGAGATGGATGTGTGTGAGGATTTTGAGGCTATACCTTAGAATGCCCATTGAGAGAACCAGGTTGCCAATGGGATATTGTGTATTATAAATACCTGTGTAATAATCCTAAAGTAATACCTGTGTTATTATACAACCAACTATCCAAGACGCTCGATGAACAACAGAGGGACAGAGATTGAGAGAAAGATAGAACACATTGGAAAGAGACTGATCTAGAGTCTGTAAATCAACAGGAAGGATTAAAATGACAGATTCATCTTCCCAAGATGGACAGACAAGGTTCCAATACGAGTGAGTGTGACCCAACGTTTTCCCCCGACACCCACAACAACACCCTTATTTACTCAACCTCTGTCCTCTCAACAATCCAAGACATTATGTCTGAAGGACAGAGAGAGAGGGAGTGAGAGCGACAGAGAGAGGAGTGGAAAGGCGAGGAGAGGAGAGGAGGGTAAGAAAGTTGAGTTCGCTACTAAAGCAATTTGAAGACAGATTTGGCCAGCAGATGGTGTTTGTTAAACCAACTGGTCTGGTGCATTAGGATGTCGGGAGCAGCATGCTACCCTGCTCCATCTAAAATAGCCACAGATGGAGGGGTACAGGGGAGGAAGGGGGAGGTAGAATGGGGGAGGGCTGGGGCCCGGCAAGCTGGTCAGGAAATAACGAGAGCAGCTAGCGAACGAAGAGGAACAGATAATTAGCCCGACCATGGCCTCCAGTCACTCACTCATTCCACGAGAGAGGAGAGGAAAAAGGGGGAGAGGAGAAGAGAAGGGGAGAGGGGGAAGGTGGGATCCCTCAGGGTGTGCAGGTGAGAGGCTGTCACAGCTGGACAGCAACTCCCCATCACCAGGGGGGACTCACATTCACCTCACACACACGCACGCACCACAGACACACACACTCACACACCTCTCTTTCTCTGCCAGAGCAGGAGATCAGCCAGGCCTTGGAGTCAGTACCATTGTGCCACAGTACAGTATGCCACCTATCCTGCGCTACCTCCTCCACAGTGTCCTCCTATAATATCATCCTATATTTCATAGCAGTCCTCTTTCCCCTCACCGTCCTAGGTTTGCCATATCCCCTATATGTCCTCTCTCTAACAGTCCACTAACTGTCTTTTCGTCCTGTCCTTAGTGTGGAAATTGATAATATGGATAATGATAATATGGAGGGTCGTGGCAAATAGCAGGCCTCTAAATAGCATGCTTGCACTGCACTAGTCACCTGTAGACAACAGCATTGATGATGCGAGAGTCATCCTAACAATTTGATGGAGAACGAGAAGGCCAGGAGACAAACGCCGGAGATTGACTCTCCTCCACCAATTAAGCCGACTGTCAGTGCCGGTGAGAAATCAGGCTGTCTGTAATTAGCTAGCTAGCTTCCCCCGGTCTGCCTGCCTACTGCTATACACCACCTCATGAGAACAGATCTCAGTAGGCAGGCAGACCGAGGGAAGCTAGCTAGCTAATTACAGACAGGCTAATTTCTCACACACACTGACAGTCGGCTTAATTGGTGAAGGAGAGTCAATCTCCGGCGTTTGTCTCCTGGTTGGTCGGTTGTCTCGGCAGCGAGGTGAGGTAAGCAGCAGCAGAACACGTGGTTTACAGCCTCGAGGTAAAAACCTGTCTATTGTTGGTCGTAACTGACACACTAATAGATGGGAACATGTCATACTAGGTTCTATCTCAACTCTTGAGAGGAGGATGAAATCAAGCTTAAATTTCTCTGAGATGAGGAGAAGGGAGATGGTGGGAGAGAGATGATTGTCTGTCTGTGTGTCAGTCAGGTGCTATGCTGTGAATGGTGAATGGGACACAATTCCCCCTGGAGATCAAAAGCATGCATATTACATCTGAAATGTTCACTTTCCCTCCGATAATTTTTAAAATAAAGGTTTCGTAGCAATACTGTTGCTCAAATCATAGAGTCCATACACAGGACGCTGCTACAATAGCTCAGCATATGGCTACAGCCCAGGCCAATTGATTCCAAATGGATAGTAACCCCACAACCCTAGCCTAGAATTATGTCCAGCTTGATCTTTGATTTCCTACACCATCATTGACTGAAACAAACTGAGACAGCAACGACTGTTGACTTGTTATTGACAGCCATCCATCTGTTGGGGGTTATGGTCACTTCTGTTGGGCTACTTCCTAGTGGTCCTTCAGTGAGTGGTCCTAGCAGGGGAAGGTCAGTGGAGAGGTAGATCCCACTGAATGAAGTGCCCCAGTGTCCATGTACAAACTCCTCCCTCTCTCACTCTGGATCCCCCTCCGCTCCTCGCCCCTCCCCCCTCCCCTCTCTCCTCGCTCCTCCTCTCCATCCTCCCTCCTCTCTGACGGCAACGCTGCGACGCAATAAATATTAATAACCCTAAACCCCCCAAAGTGGAGAGAGAGGGGGAGAAAGAACCACCACCACCGCACCCTCCCCGTCTCCCTCTCCAACTCCCTGTACCCCAGGAAACAAAGAGCAACCAGCCCCCGCCATATTGACCTTTCACTTTCCATTGGCCTCGCGCACGTCTAACCACTGTGCCCTCACTCCCTTAACCCCCTTCCACTTTCACCCTCTCCTCTCCTCTTCCTGCCATTGCCCCCCCCCCATCTCTCTCGTTCCCTCCCCCGACTCTCCCCATTAAGGACCCAGCTGCCAGTCAGAGCGAGCTTTATTAACCCCTTCCCTGACATCCATTTCATTACGTTGGGGATCAACAGCTGATTAAAATACAACCGAGGCGCCTCTCTACAGATGACCTACGACCCCAGCCTAACCCCGCTTCATTTGGTCTGGCTGGGCCAATCAGAGGGCTTAAGGAATGGGACTGGGCTAGGAGGGGTGGGGGGTGGGGTGGGGTGGGGGGCGCCCTCCTCTGTTTCCATGGCAACAGGGCCCTGCTGCTGGGTTTGCAGTGTGGAGCAGAAGTCTCAGCAGGGGGGAGGAGGAGGGAGAGAGAAAGAGGGAGCAGACAATGGAGGAGGAGAGGATGGGAGGAGGACAAAGAGACAGCAAGGCCAGCAGAGGGAGTGTGTGAGTGTGTTTGTATTTTCTGTGAGTCTAGTCTGTGTGTGTATGTGAGCGTGTGTATGCAGCACACTTTGTCAGAGTAGTCATTGTGTAAGAGGAGGCTGTCGCTTTGTGCACAGAAACACAGCCAACAATAGCAAACGCTAGAGCAAAATAAACAGGTTGCATTGTCTCAGACACGTGACTGGTGGGGACATTAGTGGCAAATGGCCTCACTTCAGCCGAGACGAGACACAACGAGACGAGCTCCCTGATGATATGATTGTCACGGTAGATGAGACATGAACCAGAGAATAAATTAGACCCCACTCCAAAACCAATCGACACAAATGTCAAACTTCACAGTTGGAGAAAACACACACGAACCCAGTAAATGTGTGTTTCAAAACACCGGCACTGTTTTCAGCAAACAGCACAGAAGCTAACAATGCAATATAACATGTAGCAGGTGATAATGTTCTGTTAAAGGGGGAAATTAAATGATGATTTTCCTTTTTTATATGTCTGAAACACCTCCAAATCATCCTGTCCTCTTGACCGACACAGATAGATAGATAGATGGATAGATGGATAGATGGATAGATGGATAGATGGATAGATGGATAGATGGATAGATAGATAGATAGATAGATAGATAGATAGATAGATAGATAGATAGATAGATAGATAGATAGATAGATAGATAGATAGATAGATAGATAGATAGATAGATAGATAGATAGATAGATAGATAGATAGATTTAGACAGTGTGATTGTATGGCAGTCTGCATAGAGAATGCAGGGTTAGAGTTATAACCTACTATACATAACGTCCCAAATCAGACATCTGCAAATATCCATGAAATCATCATCTGAAATCATTAGTTATAGTAGTAGCAGCTGAGTGGTAAAGGAGACACTGACAGTAGCCAATCGAAGGTCTCTCCTGCAGTGGCTGCTGAGCTGTGGCACCCGACTGCATGTGTAAATGGGAATCATTTTGGTGAGAGACTGGGCCTTTATGGGAGGGGTAGAGGAACAGGGGATGGGATGGAGGGATATGGGGGAAGGGGGAGAGAGGGAGGAGAGGTTGTCCCATGGTCGGCTGTGTTATTAGGCAGCCATTAGGAGAGGAGCGGCTGCAGACTGCAGGATCTCAGCCTCCCTCCCAGTAGTTTCATCAGCTGGAGGCAGCACTCCGTGAAGGAACAAATTCAACCCATATGCTGCACCTCCTCCTCCTCCTTTCCTCCACTTCCACCTCCACCTCCACATCCTCCTTTTCCCTGGGAGTGTGCTCTCTATCACACTGGCTTGCCCAGACAACTCATCCCCGGCCTGGGTGACACCTAGACACCTCTACACTCTGTGGAGCAGCATGGGGCTCTGTTAGCCTGATGAATAGCCCAATGGCGTCAGGCACTGTATAGTGGGAGAAAAGGAGGGAATGGAGTCATGTGGTAGACAAACTGAGAGAAAATGTGTGTGTTGGCAGCAACTAAACATCTGCTTGTTTCTATTGAAGGAACATATAAAGCGCTGAAAAGTGAACTATTTAATGTTCATACCTTTCATAACTAACCAGATACTAGATGTAGTGAATAGCTCCAAGCTTGGTATTTCAGTAATGTCCATGAAATGGTTCTCAACTCAACTGTGTATGTTCTGCTTTGTTCTGCCAATGAAGAGGTGGAGCATTGCTCATCCAGACGAACCTGGCGAACCTTCCTCTCCTCTCCTCTTTGCACAAAGACAGTACAGCAGCCCTTCATCTGAATACTGAAGCTCAACAATAGAACCATGAAGGTGTCCAGACATTCAAGGTAATCTCATCAACACTCTCCAGTGAGAGATTAAACTGTCAATAAATACAGGGACACGTCTTTATCCATCTCACAGACTAACATTCTATGGCTTACATAGAATACCTCAGCTTCCATAAGGAACAAAGGACAGAGAAGAAGGGCCAGCGAAATGGAGAGCGAGACGATGGTGGAAAACAGGGGAGAGAAAGGATAGAATGAATGAAGAGGAGAGAGAAGAGCAGTAAGGTTGTAGCCACCGGAGAGAAGATAGAGAGAGAGAGAAGATAGAAAGAGAGAGAGAAGGAGAAAGAGAGAGAGAAGGAGAAAGCGAGAGCAGAAAGAGACCAATCTAGCTCCACTGTAAGCTTAGATGTATTCTCCCTCTCTCGGTCTCTCCATTGTTCTGGAAGCCATGCATGCAGCAGTGTTGGGGAGGGTGAGGTCTAGCGCGGCAAAGCTGTTCCACATAGCGTTGCACCACAAAGATTCTGCTGTCCCTCCCCTCCTGTTCTCTCCTCTCACCGGGGGACTCACCGGCAGCATGCCATCCCTCTCAATTAAACATATGCATATGCGTTGTAGGCTGCCTGGCTCTATGCATGTTCTCTGTAAGGTGATGGGCTTTGAACCTTGACTGATGCTCGCTGGAGAGACGGGTGTGTTGCAGCAAGCTTTTAATATGACTGGTGACTGGTGCAGTCTTAAAACCCTGTTGGCTGGAGAAATGTGTTCTGGTATGGGTACAGAATGTGATTTATTTGGGGGAAATAGATTTTCTTCCACATCAAGCTTTTGTTTCTATAACTTGAACATCTCTAGAGAACTGATTATTGAGTTCGTGTGACTCCCACACACAGAAACGTTACCTTCTGATAGTCATCTTTGGAGGCCAGAGCCTGTTCAAGCTGCTCCTGTGTGTATGTGTAGATGGCTGATCGATAGGTCGTTCCTACATCGTTGCCCTGACGCATTCCTGAAAATGAGACAGAGAACACAATGTTGGGTAACTTTTAGAGAATTTACTGGACTAAAGACAACATATTTCACTCAATATAGAGGAAGACATAAAAGATGGCCAAATCCGACAGACAGACAAAGAGAGAGAGGCAAACACGCACACAAACAGAGAAACACAGGGTTATATACAAGGTACTCTAAGTGGATAAAAGTTTACTTCCAAATCATTTCTTCTAACTGTCTAAACTATTCTGCCATCCGCCAACCAAACAGCATACTATGTTTGCTTTGTTTGCTCTGACAGGCACGTCATACGAAACAAACTCACAATCAACCTTGTTTGTCTGTCTGAGGAAAAGACCTGGAGACGAGACCAGACCAACTGCGGTGTAATTTCAATCAAAGCACAGTTCACCTTGATGCAGATGTAGAACATGATACAGATACTGCCTGCCTCTGTGTAATTATTCTGTTGCTGGGAGCGGAGCGTAGTGTGAGCCGTGCAGACAGACAGTGAATCACACTGATTTTGTTCCCTGACAAAAAGCTCCCATTCAAACACGCAATCATTTGCTAGGTGTTAGAGGACACATTGAAAATGTCTTGTAGGTTGAAGACAAACCATTTAGTCATACTGTTGAGAGTAGCATCATGTTACGATCACATGGAATATGACAGTGAGTCTTATAATAAGGAAATCAGTAGGTTAACCTTATCTAGCATCACTGGGCATGTGAGCAACACTTCAGAACGTACTTGACCTTAGTCTCTATCTTGACCTTTCTGAATAGTGCATACTACAGGTACATACACTATATGACCAAAAGTATGTGGACACCTGCTTGTCCAACATCTCATTCCAAAATCATGGGCATTAATATGGAGTTGGTCCCCCCTTTGCGGCTATTACAGCCTCCACTCTTCTGGGAAGGCTTTCCACTAGATGTTGGAACATTGCTGCAGGGACTTGCTTCCATTCAGCCACAAGAGCATTAGTGAGATCAGGCACTGATGTTGGGCAATTAGGCCTGGCTCGCAGTCGGCGTTCCAATTCATCCCAAAGGTGTTCGATGGAGTTGAGGTCAGGGCTCTGTGCAGGCCAGTCAAGTTCTTCCACACCGATCTCGACAAACCATTTCTGTATGGACCTCGCTTTGTGAATGGGGGCATTGTCATGGAATGCTGGCATCCTATGACGGTGCGACGTTGAAAGTCACTGAGCTCTTCAGTAAGGCCAGTCTACTGCCAATGTTTGTCTATGTAGATTGCATGGCTGTGTGCTCAATTTTATACACCTGTCAGCAACGAGTGTGACTGAAATAGCGAAATCCACGAATTTAAGGGTTGTCCAGATACTTTTGTATATATAGTGTAGGTAATGCATTATGGATGCATATATAATCATCACATCTAAAATATCATCCTTCAAAAGTAAAATGGAGAGAATTAACAGTTACATTCTGCACGCTATGTGCAACAGCACTATTCTTCAGCTAAATCACTTAGGAAGTAGGTCATGATTCATGACACTGAAGTGACCTGAGGAAGATAACACAGTACTGTGCCAACAGTGTGGGAACAAGTCTTCAACAATGTGTGTCATCTTGTGTGTATTCTCATATTGTGTGCATATCTTCTTATCCACTGTGTGTCATAGTGTGTGTGTAAGGTTGTCCAGAGGTTGAGCTGGCCAGCTGAGTTGACGTGGCTGAGGTGAGGAGGGGTCAGAGCTAACACAGAGGCAGATTTCTCTGGGGTCGTGTGTGGCCTGTGGACTCACACTCACACAGGGTCAATAAGGAAATTAAACACACACTCCAGGCACCTCTCTGGGTGGAGAGTGACCCTCTCTCCTTTCTCTCTCTCTCCCTCCCTCCCTCCCTTATTTCACAGACGCGAACACTCAAAATGGCAGTCTCATCATCCTGCTACAGATAGCTCAGGGCAGAGAGGAAGCAGTTGAGACTGGGATTAAGCTATGCAAGAATTGGCTTTGGAAACGCTGTAGTTGTATATACCAGGCGTGTCGATGGAGGGAGAGGGTTTTACATAACACTCTTATCCAGAGCGACTTACAGTAGTGAGTGCATACGTTTTCATACTTTTTCGTACTGGTCCCGCATGGGAATTTAACCCACAACCCTGGCGTTGCAAGCGCCATGCTCTACCAACTGAGCCACATGGCACTTTTACCTTGAGTGGGGTTGTGGCTCTCCCAGAACACCTTCAGCAGTTTGGAGAAGCTTGTCTTTTCTGGCTCCCAGACCACCCGGACCACCTCAGTATGGCCTGTCCTACCTGAGGGAGACAACAGAAGACAGGAGATATGGTGAGGTTAGGAGAAGTAGGCAGTTGCCCCTATCCACTGGTCCAGGATCATGTATTTCCTTATCCTTCTGGTTAAGGTTAGGATTGGGATATGATAATCTGATTCTAGATCTGTGGATATGTAACCTTGAGTTTTCCTCCACTCCTCAGAAACAGTGAATGTTGACTGGGAGTGCAAGTTGTTCTCCAGTGCAGCAGTGCGGTGCTGTCCTGGATCAGTTATTAATGTTTTAACCAAGCTCTGGAGGGAGGAGTGTCCTCCAATCACGCAAGCTGGACACCGAGTTTGGGACATGCTGATTGGATAGAGCTGTTTGGAGAACTCTCTTTCACTCTTCCAGAGGGACATCCACAAAGGTTAACATCTCAATATGAGGTGAGAAGACAGAGTAAACCATGTTTAATAAAGACCTGCTCTTCTATTCCCAATTCAATACATTTCTAGCGAGATTAGTTTATTCCACTGAGATGGGTGTTTAATGTCACCTCATAAGGCTGTGTTCTCCACTATCTGCAGCACATCTACAGCTGGGATATTAAAAAAATTATAAGAACTAACCTGTAGGGTCACTGTCATTACAGACTGACGCTACAGAGGAACTGTACAATAAACATGATGGAAGAACACAGGGATGTCCTGGAGACAGGAGGAGGAACAAGGGAGTGCATTGGACACAATTGAGGTGCTGTATAATTTAGTGCACACACACACACACAAGCAAATGCACAGTCGAATGCACAGACGCACCCATAGATTCATGAATCAATTTCTCCTTTCCTCTCTCTAACATTCTCTCTCCCTCTAAGCCATTCTTTTAAATCCATGAATCCATTCTCTCTCTGTCAGCCTCCCTTGTTTTCTGCCATGCAATCTCTTTCAGCCTCCATCTACTCTCTCTCTCCCTCTCTTTTTTCCTCCCCCTCTCTCCTTCCTCCTCCATCCGGTGGCTCCCTCGTTCAGCTGGTAGTGGAGCTGTGTGTTCAAGGTGAGCTGAAGGACATCTGAGGTACACACACACACACACACATCCATCTTTACTGCTGGCAGCTCAGGGGAAAGCAGGCAAGATGGCTGCCAGCATGAAGCTCAGCAGGAGACAGAAGAGTCCATGTGCCACCACTCTCCGACTCCCAATGCATGGCTACAGGGCTGGAGCAAAATATATCTTACACTGCCCTATCCTATTCTTTACTGTACATATCCCTCATCAGAATGATGCTTTCCTCCATTCTCTCTCTGTTTCTCTTTCTTTGGGTCTATTGTCTGTTCTATACATTCCTGCAGCCCCTAATTCCTTGTTGACACAGCTGTCTGCCGGGGAACCATGGTGTGTGTGTGTGTGTGAACCCCCTCACCACAACCCATTCCTCACGTATCCCAGAAGGCATTGGGAGCAGAACGCATGGTCTCTTGGATATAGTTGATCAGCCATGTTCAGAGTGATCCTTCTTCTCTCTCTCCCATCCCTCTCTCTTTCTCTCCATTCAGTCAAGTCATTTGTGCAGTGTAACATATGCATTCTATATCGGCTTAGCTATATGCCTGAGTGTGCTTATTCATATTGACTATGGATTCTTTCAGACTGAATAGTTACAAAGAAGGGGCTGCTCAGTGACTATCTGAGAGGAGTTACTGCGCTAACACCAGCTGTCTGTCGCAGCAGGCTTTTGAGGTTCGGATCACGGAGAAGAGAGGACAAGATAATGTGTGGGTCTTTCAAAGACAATATTCAGGGCTGTGGGATGAGCTATTGCTATTGTGCCAGTGAATATTAATTTGGGAAGTTTGATTTAAAGGAAAATGCGAACCAAACCTCACATTGAGCTGCAGCCCCAGTAGCAGTCAGTAGCAGTCAGTAACAGTCAGTAACAGTCAGTAACAGTCAGTAGCAGTCAGTAGCAGTCAGTAGCAGTCAGTAACAGTCAGTAACAGTCAGTAGCAGTCAGTAACAGTCAGTAACAGTCAGTAACAGTCAGTAACAGTCAGTAACAGTCAGTAACAGTCAGTAGCAGTCAGTAACAGTCAGTAACAGTCAGTAACAGTCAGTAACAGTCAGTAACAGTCAGTAGCAGTCAGTAGCAGTCAGTAACAGTCAGTAACAGTCAGTAACAGTCAGTAGCAGTCAGTAACAGTCAGTAACAGTCAGTAACAGTCAGTACAGTCAGTAACAGTCAACAGTCAGTAACAGTCAGTAGCAGTCAGTACAGACAGTAGCAGGCAGTAAAAGTCAGTAACAGCAGTACAGTAGAAGTCAGTACAGTCAGTAACAGTCAGTAACAGTCAAGAGGCAGTCAGTAACAGTCAATAACAGTCAGTAAACAGTCAGTAGCAGTCAGTAACAGTCAGTAACAGTCAGTAGCAGTCAGTAACAGTCAATAGCAGTCAGTAGCAGTCAGTAACAGTCAGTAACAGTCAGTAACAGTCAGTAGCAGTCAGTAACAGACAGTAGCAGGCAGTAAAAGTCAGTAACAGTCAGTAGCAGTCAGTAACAGTCAGTAACAGTCAGTAGCAGTCAGTAACAGTCAATAGCAGTCAGTAACAGTCAGTAACAGTCAGTAACAGTCAGTAACAGTCAGTAACAGTCAGAGCAGGCAGTAGCAGTCAGTAACAGTCAGTAACAGTCAGTAACAGTCAGAGCAGGCAGTAGCAGTCAGTAACAGTCAGTAACAGTCAGTAACAGTCAGTAACAGTCAGTAACAGTCAGTAGCAGTCAGTAGCAGTCAGTAACAGTCAGTAACAGTCAGTAACAGTCAGTAACAGTCAGAGCAGGCAGTAGCAGTCAGTAACAGACAGTAGCAGGCAGTAAAAGTCAGTAATAGTCAGTAACAGTCAGTAACAGTCAGTAGCAGTCAGTAACAGTCAATAGCAGTCAGTAGCAGTCAGTAACAGTCAGTAACAGTCAGTAGCAGTCAGTAACAGTCAATAGCAGTCAGTAGCAGTCAGTAACAGTCAGTATTAGTCAATAGCAGTCAGTAGCAGTGAGCTGAGGCAGGGTTTCAGCACCACCAGATGGAAAGCTCCCTGCCTCAGTGCTGCACTCTGCATTCTACAGAGCAGTGCCACTACTGCCAAAACAGAAATTAAATTATAACAAAACATTAATAAAATTAAACACACACACGCATGCACACACATACACATATTCTCTCTCTCTCAGATCCTACAGCAGTAGATGTTTAACGCCTCTAAACTCTAAGCTCCGACTTCAGTTCAAGATCCATCCTGAGAGAACGGCACTCTGGGAAGTCATCAAACAAATGTCCCTTGATGAAAGTCTTTACAAAGTTGTTTTCTACTGGAACAAAAGTCAATATCCAGATCAAAGACTAGTGACTTCCATGCTTCTAACAGCCCTACACAAATTGTTATTGTACTGAACCACAGAGGGGAGAGAGAGAGATAGGAGAGAGAGGGCATTTTGCGGATTCCACACACATACGCACACACACGAACACACACACACACAAGCGCACACACACAAGCGCAAAAACACACTGCCAAGGGCCCGGTCCGTGAAGGTCAGAGCTGGACAAGAGGGGCCAGAGTTCAGAAAATGCCCTCAGTCCTCAGAGGAACACCCAGCAGGGTTTTGTTCTGTTACTTCCTATTCCCGGAAAACTATGTACATTCACACTGAGCGCAAAATCTAATTTCCTAAATCCTAAATCCCTCAAAAGCAGGATGGAGAGGCAGTGGGTGCATCTAAAAATAATACAAGGACAGCTGGCAGTGTTTGGATAATGCTCTGAATGTTTAAAAACACCCAACTCCCATTATTGCAATGAAAGGAAAACTGTAGTGAACAAGTTCACTGTGTGAAGCGCAAAGACTTTCTTCTACCGCCAATTTGGATTCTCATTTCAAAACTATATTTCTCATTTTCCATTTCAATGTTCTTTTCACAGAAAGCATACAGCTCAAAATGACACCTACTGTTGCTGTTGTGTTACTAACAGGAGAGTGAGGAGGCCCATCACAGAACCATAGAGCTAGTGATGCATATCTAATGGTGAATTTCCTTAGCTCAGGACAGCACACACACTTAGAAAGTATAATGTAGAGAGATACTTCTGTGTACCACATAATGACCTTACACACACACCTTAACTAGCGGATCATTAAACACGCAAACACACACACATACGGATGCACACACACACAAACACATACAGGTGAGCACACACACAAGTACTGCTAGAAAGCGGTCACTTTCCCCTGCCCCACTATAATAGGACTTAAGGGATTCCATTTGGTTTTCAGGGGCAGGTTTGGAGAAAACAAAGAACTGTATACTGTCCATATAAACACCAGATACCTCTGCTACTGAGTAATTGTGTATTATTCTCAGACTGGGCAAGACTGATGCTGCATGTACAGTACAGTAGAACAGTGCTATGAAAAAGTATTTACCCCCTTTCTAATTTTCTCTACTTTTGCATATTTGTGATACTGAATGTTATCAGATCTTCAACCAAAACCTAATATTAGATAAAGGGAACATACGTGAACAAATAACACAACAATTACATATTTATTTCATAAACAAAGTTATGCAACACCCAATTCCCCTGTGTGAAAAAGTAATTGCCCCCTTACACTCAATAACTGGTTGTGCCACCTTTAGCCGCAATGACTCCAACCAAATGCTTCCTGTAGTTGTTGATCAGTCTCTCTCTCTTGATCTTCCATGCAGAACTGCTTTAACTCAGTGACGTGTGGGTTTTCAAGCATGAACTGCTCGTTTCAAGTCCTGCCACAACATCTCAATTGGGATTAGGTCTGGACTTTGACTAGGCCATTCAAAAACTTCCAATTTGTTGCTTTTTAGCAATTTTCATGTAGACTTGATTGTGTGTTTTGGATCATTGTCTTGCTGCATGACCCAGCTGCGCTTCAGCTTCAGCTCACAGACGGATGGTCTGACATTCTCCTGTAGAATTCTCTGATACAGAGCAGAATTCATGGTTCCTTCTATTAAGGCAAGTCGTCCAGGTCCTGAGGCAGCAAAGCATCCCCAAACCATCACACCACCACCACCATGCTTGACCTTTGGTATGATGTTCTTACTGTGGAATGCAGAGTTTGGTTTTCGCCAGGCATAATGGGACCCATCTCGTCCAAAAAGTTGACTCAAGTTTGCCAAAAAGCACCTGGATGATCATCAAGACTCTTGGAAGAACGTTCTATGGACAGATGATTCAAAAGTATAACTTTTTGCAGCTAAAGGTGGCACAACCAGTTATTGAGTGTAAGGGGGCAATTACTTTTTCACACAGGGGAATTGGGTGTTGCATAACTTTGCTTATGAAATAAATGAAATAAATATGTAATTGTTGTGTTATTTGTTCACTTATGTTCCCTTTATCTAATATTAGGTTTTTGTTGAAGATCTGAACATTCATTATCACAAATATGCAAAAGTAGAGAAAATTAGAAAGGGGGCAAATACTTTTTCATAGCACTGTATCTGATAAAAGGCCCTTCATAGAGACATGTAGAAGTCATTAACATGAGGAGATGATCAACACATCATGAGGCTGGTTAGTGTATTACACACACAGACTGTGGATGGCTGTTTATGAGGGAGATCCAGATTAAATGAACACTGAATTATTCTGAGCACAGGTCAGGGGTATTGTTGAGTGGGGTGTGGGGTCAGTGTTGAGTGTTACCTGTGCAGGTCTCTTCGTAGGTGGGGTTGGGGGTGAGGCCTCCAGCGTAGCCCACCTGGGTGGAGTAGACACCTTTCTGCTTCCAGAATTGTCTCTCTGCGCCCCAGAAACAGCCCATCCCTTAAAGACAACACATCTCAGTCAGAAACAGACCATCCCTTTAAAGGTCCAATGCAGCTGTTTTTATCTCAATATCAAATCATTACTGTGATTGTTTTCAATTAAAATGGCTGAAAAATAAACTTCATAGCAAAGAGCAATTTCTCAAGCAAGAACTTTGCTAGGACTGTCTGGGAGGGGTCTGTTATTGGCAGAGAGGTTTGAAACTCTCTTTCCTATTGGTATATTAACTAATTTACTGCCTGGTGATGTCACCGGGCAGGCCAAAACTCCATCCCACCAAAACAGAAATTTCAGGCGGTCTTTTCAAACAGCTCTTACACTAAAAGGGAATTATCATCATTTTCATAATTTCACAGTATTATTACAACCTCATAGTGTCAATATAAAACACAGGAAAATCATGTTTTTGACTGCACTAGGCCTTTAACACAACACACCCCAGTCAGAAACATCCCATCCCTGTAAGACAGCATACCTCAAGTCAGAAACGGATGGACAGGCATAGATGGATGGATGAATAGTTGGAAAAAATTCTAGAAATAGATGAGTGGATGGAGGGATGATGGAGAAATTCACTTGGAAGGAATGGAGTGAATAAATTCCTGAACCAGTGCCAATTTCAGACATAGGATACTATTAGGCTTATTTAGAGCACAGATGTATTATATCATACCCTGGCTGACTTGGCTCTCATGCACCTTGTTTATTGGCCAATGTTGCTCTGGTCTCGATACCTCTCTTAGGTGTGAAATTAATAGAACAGCCCACACACACTGATACAACCCATTAAAACCCTCCTACGCCACTGAGGTGCACCGGCCTTTCTCTTTCTCCTGAGTATTAGTCTGTCAGCAGGGAACACATCCACCTTGTGTTTGCTCTAAATCACCTCCATAAAGGTCTGGATCTGTGTCCCAGCTTTGGATTTACTGTCTAATGAAACCATAGTGTTCATTGGTTATCAGATGTACTGTGGGCCTGTAAAAACAACCGATATAAAACTAATACCCACTGTTAACATTTAGCACCAAGTAATACTCCCCCACCAAATAAAACAGTAAAAATATATTAAGGTACAATTTCAAAACTGTTATCCACAGTCATTAATTCCGCCGATTGTGTGGAGTGATTTAGCTGAGAAACCAAATGACTGGTGAGCTGGGTTTTCTCTCCATGCAGTACTGAAGGGTTGAGTGGGGCTCAGACAGTTTGCCTCGATGTGTGTGTGAGAGGTTTTTGTGTGTGTGAGGTGATTGTGACTGAAGAGGATCCTACACGGCTCCTACACACATGCTCACGCACACACACCTTTGTGTTTGGGAGTGAATGTTGGAGTATTAACACAAGGTAGTGCTGAACGTAGCCAATCACTGACACAATGGTAACAGAGGGGGGTAGAAGACAGGCTTTTGTAGAGTCAAGGGTAACTGGCACCTTTTAAGGCTGTCCACGGGGGGTTTTGTGATTTGAAACGCTCTGCGGGTCACAAGTGTATGTAAGGCTGCTTTAAAACCTGCTTATTTGTACACAGGCCCGGAAGATAAAGAGGCTGATTTCTCTGCTCTGTCGTGATGGACTTCACAGTTTGACTCTCTGAACAGAGAAAAGAGGAGCTGAACTAATGCATTTTATTAAAGAGATCCTAATCATCCCTTGCAATTAATCTCTACACCCCTCCTCCTACCATCCCATCCCATCCCTCTCTCTGTTTTTCATGTATTTTCTGAACCTAACAGAGTATCAGGGGAGGGGGAACTAATTACACTATACTGTCTGGATGTCATCCTCCCCTCTTTCCTCCTATCCCCTGTTTCCCACCCTCATACAGATCACTTACCAAACATAGCCATCTGCAGTCCCTCAGGGAATGGCAGTACGGTCCTGTTGCCGTTGACATCGTGCTTGGCTGTAGGACACACAGGAGAGGGTCTCTGTTAGTCAAACACAGACAGTCCATCACGCACCTACAGTCTCATTTTACATTTATGTCATTTAGCAGACACTTTTATCCAGAGCGACTTACAGATAGTGAGTGCATACATTGTGGGAATTGAACCCACAACCCTGGCGTTGCAAACGCCATGCTCTACCAACTGAGCTACACGGGACTGCATCAGTCTCCACACCACTGATGCAATACACACAATGACTGGCCATTGTAAGATACTTTGGTGTATCTCTGGTGTGTAAGGACTGCAGAGGGATTGCTTTTTTGCATTTACAGTAGCTAGCTTTGCCATTGCAAACAAAGAAAGACAGGGAAAATTAACCTGGGGGTTTTTGCAACATGCGCACATACACTGACCCATTTAAACATTCTCATTCATCTCATGCATGATTTTATAGCAGCTGCGATCACTCCAATCAACTGACAAAGCCAGAGGTGGAAGAAGCCCATTGGGGCCACAGAGCCACCTGGCTGAGCTAATGTGTGTTAGTGTCTGTGTGTGTGTATGTGTGTGTGTGTGTGTGTGTGTGTAGATGTGAGTGTGTGTGTGTCTGTGCTGCAGATGGCCTGCTGTTGGAGGGCAGTGTGTGGATTAGGATAAATGTGGGGGAGTGAGCCCAACATCTGGAGCCAGCCAAGCCCTTCCTGTGCTGTGTCCTTACTGGGTGTGTTGCCATGGCAGCTAGGCGTGCCGATACAGCCAGCTGGAGACCGAGGCCAGGCAATCTACTGCGGCACCATAGCCACACGCCCATCACAGCCTCCCTAACACTCAGTCAGTCAGTCTCTCTGTCAGTCAGTCTCTCTGTCGTCACTCTGTCTCTCTGTCTTTCTGTCAGGCAGTCTCTCTGTCAGTCAGTCTCTCTGTCAGTCAGTCTCTCTGTCTCTGTGTCACTCAGTCTCTCTGTCAGTCAGACTCTCTGTCATTCTGTCATGTGGTCCTCTGTAGCTCAATTGGTAGAGCATGGCGCTTGCAATGCCAGGGTAGTGGGTTTGATCCCCGGGACCACCCATATGTATATATGTTTTTAAAAATGTATGCACGCATGACTGTAAGTCGCTTTGGATAAAAGCGTCTGCTAAATGGCTTTTTATTCTGTGTGTCAGTCACTCTCTCTGTCATTAAGTCTCTCCGTCCATCAATCCATTTATATGTCACAGTCATCATTTTGCTTACACCAATCTACATCAAGATCTACATAGAAGAGATTAGGGGCTAGGGAAAGAGGTAGAGGTTGTTAGACCAGGATAGGCAACCTCTACTTGAAAGGACAAATATGGTGCATGTATATGTGCTCCTGTCCTCTGCACTGTGGGGCTCCATGATAATATCATCAGTATGGCCGCTCTAACTCCCCGCTGCAGAGGGCAGGGACATTTTCATGACCTCAAACACAGTTTCCTTTTCTTCTCTTCTGATGTGAAACATGCTGTGATGTGGGATGTGGCGCTCGACTTTGAGTTGAAAGAAACCCTGCCTTCCGTCAATACACACACAACCTATGTCTGTGACTATACAGTTGATTTAGATGATCTCATTTTCATAACCGTTCACATTTGTATTCATACAAAAAGTTGGCAAGGTTAGTTAGATGTAAAAGACGTTCAACCCTCCGTCTGTGTTTGTGTAAAAACTCTGTCTTGTTGGCCTGAGTGGCAAAAGACACACTGAGAGGCTCTGACTCCTGGCCAGCTTCAATAAACCCCCTCCACTTTGGAATGTGGAAGAGTGCTGCTACAGTGCTGTGAACAGACAGGCTAGCGTGGAGCCTAGCTGGGCCCGACTAATTTAATATGGGAGAGTGGAGTGAGGAAAATGCATTAGAACAGACATCATTAAATCACTTTTACATCCACACTGCTCACCAGCCAGCCAAGAATGTCTCACAAAATATAGATTTCAGCATACAGGGACTCAAGCCCATGATACATGTAGCATAATAGTGACTTTGTCACCGTTTTACCTCAGTTTCATTTCTATTAGTGCCAAAACTAGTTGTATGGACCCTGCAGCACTGCTATGAGTGAACCATAGATTTGACAATCCCTATACCCCAGTCCCTATACCCCAGTCCCTATACCACAGCCCCAGCCCCTATACCCCAGCCATAGCCCCTATTCCTCAGCCATAGCCCCTATACCTCAGCCCCAGCCCCTATACCACAGCCCCAGCCCCTATACAATAGCCCCTATACCTCAGCCCCAGCCGTAGCCCCAATACCCCAGCTTCAGCAATAGCCATAGCCCCAGCCCCAATACCCCAGCTCCAGCCCGAGCCTCATCCCATGCAGCCCCATACACAAGCCCCAGCTCCAGCTCCAGCCCCAGCTTCTCCACTCTCACTCCACTCTCATTATCTTAGTGTGGTGGCAGTAATCACAGCCATTGGGGAACAACAGAACAGAAGCATGTTCATTAATGGCTGGACACCCCCGCTGTAAGATAAACAATCTAAATGTAAATGTCAGCAGGGAAAGACAATGAGTCCAGACAGAATATTAATGACTCGCCGCTTCTGCACTTTGCTGCGATATGCTCTGCTCAGTGTGTGTGTGTGTGTGTGAGAGAGAGCCCCCCTGACTCCCCCAACCCCCCCTAGCCTCCCCCAGCGGTCCCCTTTATCCCCCACCATGTACCAAACTGCTCCCTGTCACACTGCCCCCCAGGACACATGTCCCCCCCTCCATCCCTTATACACATAAAGCCACTGTGAAGGGCAGTTGCCTTCACGGGCACACTTCATAGTTCACACGCACGCACGTACAAACACACACACTGAAATGTGTTTACAACCGAAGAGATAGGTTTAGAAAAATACAACTAATACTACGCTATTTATTTGACAGGAAGAGTAAAGAAAGAAAGAAATACATCTACATTGTTGGCCCTTTCTCTTAAAGATTCACAGAAAAAAGCTGCTCCAGAAATGAAAAAAATGAAAAGAATATAAGACGGACAACAAGCTCACTGAGTGTATTTCTTCTAGCCTCACAGAAGTGCTCAGGCTAATGCATTTTGACTCG